GGTGCGGAGATGCAGCCCCAGGCCTCTGCGTGGGTGTGTGAGGGAGGCGAGCATCTGCCCTGGACAGGCCGGCCCCCCTCCCCTCAGTGTGGCTTCTCAGGGTCTGAGGCCCCCTTAGTGGGGGAGAGTCACTGGCTTGAGAGGGCCTAGGAGCCAGAGGCCGTGGTCTGGGGCCTGGGAGCTGCTCCTCAGCCTGCCCGGACCTGTGCTGGCTTCCCCGCCTGGGGTTCATTGATTAACTGCTTAGAATCCTCGGTTTCCCCATCTAAGAAATGGGAAGAATAGTCATAATAAGAATGCTTTGCAAACTGAAATGGAGACAAGTTTGGGACTGAAGGTGATTTAGCTCTGTACCTGCAGAGGATGGTGGGCTGATGAAAATGAGGAGGTGACCTAGATTTTGAAGAAGTCCCTGGTGTTTTCCAGCAGAGACACGCGTGGGCTGGCTCTGTCCCTGTGTCGCCGTGGTGCCTGCCGGCACTGTGGTGCTCATTCCCTCTCCAGACCCCTCCTCCCATCCCCTTAGGCAATGGTTTTCATAAGCAAACCCCTGTCCCACACAGGTGCTCACCAGGGGTGGAGGGACGTGGGAGGGCAGAGCTGACGTGCCCCTGAACGTGAGCAGCAGGGGACCTTCCCGGAAGTTCCGACCCCAGGCCTCAGGACGGCCTTTGGAGGTGATTTCCCTGCCCAGACTGGGTCCAGAGAATAGGCCAGTGTTGAGTGTTCTCCTGCCCGGGATGCCGCAGAGCTGTGGCGGGGCACACAGACTGGACTTAGGTGACTTCCTGGGGCCACACAGTGGATGGGACGGCAGCTGTGGTTTTGGGCGGCTTTGCAGAGCTGTTCTTGTGTCCAGACCCTGACTCTGTGTTTGCTGTGTGACCTTCTGCAGGTCATCCAGCCCCTTAGGACATCGGGTTCACATCCGTAACACGGATCTAATACGCAGGGCCCTGTCCGCCTTACGTGCTCGGTCCTGGAGTGAGCCTGGGTAGCCCGCCTTGGGGTCTGAGCAGCTGAGGGGCTGCCCTGGTGGGCAGGGGGAGGGGGCCCACCCGGGAGTTAGCAAGATGGTGCTGCTGCCCTAGGGGCTGGGAGGTGAGAGTTCTCAGATACTGTGGGATACCCAGTCGGGGGAGAAGAGGCCAGACCTGACCCTCAGTAGCTGGTGGTGAGTGTGAGGCAGCTGAGGCTGGGGTGGGAGGCGTGGGCACATGCCCAGCCCTGCTGCTCAGTGGCGGCAGGAACGTGGCTGGTGGAGGCGCCACGGGAAGGCTGGGTGTGATGCAGCTTCCGTGGGGCTTGGCTCTGCCCTGTGTGCAGGGGGCATGAATAGCACTAGTGGCTGCTGAGAAAGCCATGGCAGGGCCAGCAAGAGGCCAGTGCCCATACTTGCACTGGGCATGTGGGGAGTGGACACTCTATAAGAAAGTGTAAGATGAAGTTTACGGCAACTCAGAAAGGAAATTTGAGTCATTCTTTAAGTGGCATTAAGACAAAGGAAAGCACAGGAGACGATGAACCTCCCAGGCCGAAACAGTGTGACTTCCTTACATGACTGACGTAGACGGTGGTGGCGAGGAGGGCTGCCTGGGGTGCACTGTGAACTCCGGGAACCAGGGATAAGTTTGGAGTGGGTATAGGGGGCAGGGGTAAGATCTCCAGCTGGCTGTGACCCCAGACACAGGGACTCTCCAGCCCAGTGCCATGGGTTCCATGGACTCAGATTGCTTGAACATTCACTCTGCAGCTTCTTACTGAGGTCCTCCTGTGGGTATTGGGGTAATATACATGATGACTTATCTATGCTGGCCACATGTCATTTCTGAGCGTACAGTTAGCCCCACCCTGGGTGAGAGTGAAGCTTTTCTTTTTCTCCTAGATCTTACCTCTGCAGCCGAGCTCACGTGCAGGCAGCCTGCCATGGGGTCGTGCTCAGGAGACCCCGCCTCTGCTGGGCCACCTGGCTCCTGCGATGCACCAGCCTCCTCCTCGGTGAGTGGCCTGGGATGCTGTCAGGAGGGCTGTTGGGGGAGCTGAGAGGCAGGGTCTCCTTGCTCTTCTGATGTCTTTGGTGAATAAAAGAAAAGACACTGTTATTAATTAGCAGATGTAGTGCATTTGGTTTAGAGCCCCAGGGTGTCCAGAAGAACAAAATGGCCTTTGGCTCTGGGGGGCTGGGACCTCTGAGCTCTGGGCGCTAGTAGCCTTGGCCACATTAAGGGACCATTGCTAGCGGGCAGGTGAGGCAGTTTCTGTAGCAACACCAGGGAAGCCAGAGAGCCTGGAGCCTCCTGGGGGAGGGATGGAGAGGGACAAAGAAGCTGGCTCTGGGGACAGAGGGTGGGAATGGAAACCCCTGGCCTGAGCTCAGAGGGTCCTGACAGCCCTGCAGCTGTGGTGTGGAGGAGGGGCCCACCTAGCACCCATGTCCCAGATGGTGGAGCAACTCTAGTCCCCTTGGCCTTGAGCAAGATGTGGGCCACTGCACGGAGTGACATTCTGATTGTGTAAAAGGAACAGCAGCTCCAAAATGTAAGGGTGTCAGTGCACCCACCTGTTTTGAGAGATGGAGAAATGTGGAAGGAAGCAGTGGACTGCCTGCCTCCTGGGCGTCAGGAGAGGGTGACCTGGGGAGGCGAGAGGAGGGGAGAGGAGAGGGTGGGGCTGAGCACAAGTGGAAAGAGAGGCTGCGCTAAGGAAGGCGAACTTCACACTCAGGACTTCATCGGAGATGATGCTTCCCTACAAGGAAATGAAGTAGGAACAGCTGAGGGGACTGTGAGGCCTGTGATTCATGGTTTTGGGGAAGCTGGTCAGCCTCACTGGGGGATGGTGGTGTTTGTGCACCGGCCCCTGTGGGACTGCAGGGGGCTGTGAATGGAATGGGGCCCAGGGCTTGGGGCACAGGACGGCCTGAATGACCAGGAGCTTTGCAAGGCACGAGGCCCCTTGCCCTGGGGACTGGGTCACAGTGATGTGTGGGCCTCCTCTTCTCTTCAGTTTTTTGTAACTGGGGAAATATGCTAAATTATGTAGAGCTTTTCTCAAAGGTCCGTGGTTTTGAATTTTACATAAGAGACAGACAGTCAGAAAAATGAATAAAATTATGTTGATTGTGAGTGTTGAGGTGTATATTATTTGAATAATGTTTACACTATCTTGCTAATGACCACATCATCCCCTGGTTTAATTCTGTTTTCTTCTCTGGCCTTAGATCTTTGAAGATCTGAGAGCCTTTGCTGCCTGCCTTATCTTCTGAGGTCTTCTCCCCTCTTACTCCTGGTGCTCCCGCCCAGCAGGTGGGGGTCTGGCTGGGCTGCGGTGGGGCCCTCAGGAGGCTGGGAGCCCCTGCCCTGCTGAGCCCTCTGAGAACTTGGTCCCCTTTCCCAGCAGGGAAGCTGCAGGTGGAGAGTCCAGGAACCTCTCAGGTCCTGGTGACAGACAGCAGCGCTGGAGGGGGCAGGTCCTGGGGGAGGGGCAGGGAAAGGGGGAGGCTGGTGGGCGGCTCCCTGCAGGGGACACCTCGGCCTGGGAGAGGAGAGACCGGGCTCCAGGTCTGGCTTTGCCTGTGTGACCCAGGAGAAGCTCTCCCCTAGGGAGCCTCCTCCCCTGTGAATGGAGGGGCCTGGGGGATCCCCTCTAAGGCCCTCTCAGGGGTGACATCTGAGATTCCCCAGACAGGACTCCTTGGGCTACTTCAAGGCCTGCTCTCTGTGTCTTCGCCCTGTCCTGTCCTACTCCTGGGTCCTGGTGATGCTGGGGTTCTTGTTTGCGGAGCCGAAGAATGAGCTTCACAAACAGTCAAGGTAGGAGAACAAGGTACAGGCTTTTATTTAGAGATAAAGTGAAAAGACAGAGCTCCCGGCTCACGCCAGGAGGGGACAGGAGAGTCTGTCATTGGTGCATTGTATGAGGGTTTTATAGGCAGCTGAGGATTTTTCGAGAACATGAAAAAACTAAGGGGTGGGGACTTGTTAAGTGGTTCCTGAGTATTAAAAATTAACTTAACTGTAAGGAATTTCCTGCCTTGATTTCTCTCTGGGACACCAGCGCCTTGGTCAGGGAGCACATCAAAAGGCTGCCTGCCCAGCCCCCAAGGTGGGCTATAAAGAATCTTGCCTCTTGAACTTCCTGGGTGTTAAAATGCAATCTTATCTCTGAGATGGGATTCTTCCCGCCTTTTACTATGCCATCTACAGCTGGGTCTGCAGCTAAGTTAGTTGCTCAGTTTGCAAAATCACCTCATCAGATCTGAAGGAGGAAAGATAGCACACAGGCCTGGGCCTTTCATAGTGTGAGGCAGCTGAGGCTGGGGTGGGAGGCGTGGGCACATGCCCAGCCCTGCTGCTCAGTGGTGGCAGGAGCGTGGCTGGTGGAGGCGCCACGGGAAGGCTGGGTGTGATGCAGCTTCCGTGGGGCCTGGCTTTGCCCTGTGTGCAGGGGGCATGAATAGCACTAGTGGCTGCTGAGAAAGCCATGGCAGGGCCAGCAAGAGGCCAGTGCCCATACTTGCACTGGGCATGTGGGGAGTGGACACTCTATAAGAAAGTGTAAGATGAAGTTTACGGCAACTCAGAAAGGAAATTTGAGTCATTCTTTAAGTGGCATTAAGACAAAGGAAAGCACAGGAGACGATGAACCTCCCAGGCCGAAACAGTGTGACTTCCTTACATGACTGACGTAGACGGTGGTGGCGAGGAGGGCTGCCTGGGGTGCACTGTGAACTCCGGGAACCAGGGATAAGTTTGGAGTGGGTATAGGGGGCAGGGGTAAGATCTCCAGCTGGCTGTGACCCCAGACACAGGGACTCTCCAGCCCAGTGCCATGGGTTCCATGGACTCAGATTGCTTGAACATTCACTCTGCAGCTTCTTACTGAGGTCCTCCTGTGGGTATTGGGGTAATATACATGATGACTTATCTATGCTGGCCACATGTCATTTCTGAGCGTACAGTTAGCCCCACCCTGGGTGAGAGTGAAGCTTTTCTTTTTCTCCTAGATCTTACCTCTGCAGCCGAGCTCACGTGCAGGCAGCCTGCCATGGGGTCGTGCTCAGGAGACCCCCGCCTCTGCTGGGCCACCTGGCTCCTGCGATGCACCAGCCTCCTCCTCGGTGAGTGGCCTGGGATGCTGTCAGGAGGGCTGTTGGGGGAGCTGAGAGGCAGGGTCTCCTTGCTCTTCTGATGTCTTTGGTGAATAAAAGAAAAGACACTGTTATTAATTAGCAGATGTAGTGCATTTGGTTTAGAGCCCCAGGGTGTCCAGAAGAACAAAATGGCCTTTGGCTCTGGGGGGCTGGGACCTCTGAGCTCTGGGCGCTAGTAGCCTTGGCCACATTAAGGGACCATTGCTAGGGGGCAGGTGAGGCAGTTTCTGTAGCAACACCAGGGAAGCCAGAGAGCCTGGAGCCTCCTGGGGGAGGGATGGAGAGGGACAAAGAAGCTGGCTCTGGGGACAGAGGGTGGGAATGGAAACCCCTGGCCTGAGCTCAGAGGGTCCTGACAGCCCTGCAGCTGTGGTGTGGAGGAGGGGCCCACCTAGCACCCATGTCCCAGATGGTGGAGCAACTCTAGTCCCCTTGGCCTTGAGCAAGATGTGGGCCACTGCACGGAGTGACATTCTGATTGTGTAAAAGGAACAGCAGCTCCAAAATGTAAGGGTGTCAGTGCACCCACCTGTTTTGAGAGATGGAGAAATGTGGAAGGAAGCAGTGGACTGCCTGCCTCCTGGGCGTCAGGAGAGGGTGACCTGGGGAGGCGAGAGGAGGGGAGAGGAGAGGGTGGGGCTGAGCACAAGTGGAAAGAGAGGCTGCGCTAAGGAAGGCCAACTTCACACTCAGGACTTCATCGGAGATGATGCTTCCCTACAAGGAAATGAAGTAGGAACAGCTGAGGGGACTGTGAGGCCTGTGATTCATGGTTTTGGGGAAGCTGGTCAGCCTCACTGGGGGATGGTGGTGTTTGTGCACCGGCCCCTGTGGGACTGCAGGGGGCTGTGAATGGAATGGGGCCCAGGGCTTGGGGCACAGGACGGCCTGAATGACCAGGAGCTTTGCAAGGCACGAGGCCCCTTGCCCTGGGGACTGGGTCACAGTGATGTGTGGGCCTCCTCTTCTCTTCAGTTTTTTGTAACTGGGGAAATATGCTAAATTATGTAGAGCTTTTCTCAAAGGTCCGTGGTTTTGAATTTTACATAAGAGACAGACAGTCAGAAAAATGAATAAAATTATGTTGATTGTGAGTGTTGAGGTGTATATTATTTGAATAATGTTTACACTATCTTGCTAATGACCACATCATCCCCTGGTTTAATTCTGTTTTCTTCTCTGGCCTTAGATCTTTGAAGATCTGAGAGCCTTTGCTGCCTGCCTTATCTTCTGAGGTCTTCTCCCCTCTTACTCCTGGTGCTCCCGCCCAGCAGGTGGGGGTCTGGCTGGGCTGCGGTGGGGCCCTCAGGAGGCTGGGAGCCCCTGCCCTGCTGAGCCCTCTGAGAACTTGGTCCCCTTTCCCAGCAGGGAAGCTGCAGGTGGAGAGTCCAGGAACCTCTCAGGTCCTGGTGACAGACAGCAGCGCTGGAGGGGGCAGGTCCTGGGGGAGGGGCAGGGAAAGGGGGAGGCTGGTGGGCGGCTCCCTGCAGGGGACACCTCGGCCTGGGAGAGGAGAGACCGGGCTCCAGGTCTGGCTTTGCCTGTGTGACCCAGGAGAAGCTCTCCCCTAGGGAGCCTCCTCCCCTGTGAATGGAGGGGCCTGGGGGATCCCCTCTAAGGCCCTCTCAGGGGTGACATCTGAGATTCCCCAGACAGGACTCCTTGGGCTACTTCAAGGCCTGCTCTCTGTGTCTTCGCCCTGTCCTGTCCTACTCCTGGGTCCTGGTGATGCTGGGGTTCTTGTTTGCGGAG